CTGCCTCAGCCTCCTGAGTAGCTGGGAGGCTGAGGCAGGAGAATTGCCTGAACCCAGGAGGTGGAGGTTGCGGTGAGCCGAGATCGCGCCATTGCACTCCAGCCTGGGTAACAAGAGCGAAACTCCGTCTCAAAAAAAAAAAAAAAAAAGAAATGTAACATGCACAGTCCTGGGCCATGGGGCGGGAGGTAACTTCTCGATCTCTCACCTGAAGCAGCCAGTAGGCACTGTTTCTGAAAGCGGTCCTCACCGCCACTCTTGCAATCACCGTTCAACAAATATTTAAGAAATATGTATCAGGCTGGGTGCGGTGGCTCACACCTATAATCCCAGCACTTCGGGAGGCCAAGGCGGGGAAAAACTCCCACTTGAGGTGGGGAGTTTGAGAGCAGCCTGGGCAACATGGTGAAACTCCATCTCTACTAAAATACTAAAATTAGCCAGGTGTGGCGGCACGCGCCTGTAATCCCAACTACTCAGGAGGCTGAGGCAGGAGAATCGCTTGAACCCGGGAGGCAGAGACTGCAGTGAGCTGAGATTGTGCCACTGCGCTCCGGCCTGGGTGACAGACTGAGACTCCATCTCAAAAAAATAGAAAAGAAAGAAATATGTATCAAATGCCTTCTACGTGCCAGGCCCAGAGCCAGGCCCTAGTGCATGCCTGGTGCCAGCCTGGGAGCCTAACCCACCCCAGTCATCTGTAGCTCTTCCTGTGCCCCTCTCCCGAGGCAGCCACCATCACTGACCCACCACGATTCACCCCAACCAGGTGCCAGGCCCCCGGTAGCAAGAGGAGGATGCACCACAAGAGATTCGCCCAGTGCCTTAGGCAAGCTCTGGGCATCACACCCCATCTGGGACTTGCTTCCAGGAAGAGGCAGAGGCAGAGGCAGCAAGTGTGAGGATGAAAGCATTGTGGGGGCAGTGGGGCAGGAGTGAGCATGGTGTATGAAGAGCTGGCGGGGCAGAGGCTACGAACACAGGCGGGGGCTGGGTCACAGGATCTGGGTCACAGGGGATGGGGATCTTGAAATCTAGCAGCCACTACAGATGCCATGGGGCTGGGAAATGGCCCTTGGAGTGCATAGGCCTCTGTATCCCCAGGGCAGCGTTTATTTTATGTTTTTTATTTTTGAGACAGGGTCTTGCTCTGTCACTCAGGCTGGAGTACAGTGGCGTAATCTCAGCTCACTGCAGCCCTGACCTCCCAGGCTCAAGTGATCTTCCCCCTCAACCTTCCAAGTAGCCGAGGCTACAGGCGTGTGCCACCACACCTGGCTAATTTTAAAAATTTTCTTTTTTTTTTTTGAGACGGAGTTTCACTCATGTTACCCAGGCTGGAGTGCAATGGCGTGATCTCAGCTCACCGCAACCTCTGCCTCCTGGGTTCAGGCAATTCTCCTTCCTCAGCCTCCTGAGTAGCTGGGATTACAGGCACGCACCACCATGCCCAGCTAATGTTTTTGTATTTTTAGTAGAGACGGGGTTTCACCATGTTGACCA